AGTTAAGTTTATTTAATGATTTAACTATATTTAAAAATGGTTAAATTAACTGCCCAAAGGGCCAAATTCACAGTGCTTTATTAAAAATCTGCAGTTAACTGCCGATTCTGAGTTAACTACGCACTGTGAATTTGGCCTTAAGTGTTTAGAATTCAACAAACAAATTTCAAATTTGTTCTACATCACACATATGGTAAGTAAAAGTTAAAAAGCAGTATTTAAGTAGATTAACATGGTGTGAAAATTTGAATACATTAAGAGAGGAAACTGGTTACCTTTTTTAATATTTATGCTTAAATTTAAACAAAAATTTTTTAGAGCGAAGTTAATTCGGCAAAGATTTGTTTGTGTATTTCACTGACGAGCTGACGGTATTCTATTGCAAGTTTTGTTTGATATGGAGGGAAAATTAATTGAGTGGGTACGGAATTACCAAGAATTATATAGTTTGGCAATAATTGCCAATTGATCATTAGTAAAATAAGTCATCTTGGTTTCAATGAACTTCATTTTAGTGAAAGTACCGGGCGACATACTACGGTTGTCGAATGAATTGGTATCACTAATCGATGATAATTGGCAATGATACTGAACTGATACGGCACTGATTTGTGAAGATAGATCTTAACTTTTATTATTATTACCAATCGATTAAAACACATTATATGTACATACATATGTACTAGGGTTACAATTGCCGGCTAGATGAATTACGGATACTAATAAAGACAAAATTCTTCCCCTGAGAGGTTTTCCCATTTGAGTTTCAATACGGTTTCCCTTTAGCTTTGATGCAAAATTACTCATGAGGCGTCGCGAAGCACGCCGGGTATTTGCTAGTATTATATGTTCCTTACGTTTGTATGTTCCTTACGTTTTTATACATACATACAGTAAAAGTATTAAGTTATCTATTAACGATTTAACTATAGTTTAAGATAGATAAGTCTACGGCCCTTAATATGCTTAATTTGTTAAATGGCCCATCAAGTCGATTGACCGTGTATGTTCTTGTGGTGTGATTGTACCAGCTGCTGGTGCGACTTCAAAATCTATTTGAAAATTTTATGATTGTACCAGCATGCTGGTGTCGTGAGTGGTGAAATTAGCTCAATTTTCTAAGTAAAAAGTATTTTGGCGGAAATTTCTTGCACTATATGAGCCAAAGCCGTGTTTGTGGAAGATTAAGTTCACGATATTGCAGTTGTGAATTGAAAAAAAAAAACAATGTTTAACAAAATGGTAGAAAAATTATGAAATTTCGGCTCTAATCATTTCGATCTTTCCTCGACCTCATTTGTGAAGAAATAAATATTGTACCAGCATGCTGGTAAGTTTTATGCTTCGAGCCTGATGGTACAACCACTTGATGGAGTCAGCGAGCAGGTGTCGTATATTTCCCCTTTTATACAAAAAGGTTTTTGGTTGGATAAAATATTAGTTTTTTCCAGAGTTCATTGTTTTTCTATACCATTACTTATTGAAAATGTTTGCGTGTATACTTATAGATGTATATGTA